AAAAATAACAGGTGTTGCCAAGGTTGTGGAGAAAGAAGAACACTTATACACTGTTGGTGGGAGTGTTATGGAAAACAGTGTGGCAATTCCTTAAAGTTCTAAAAACAGAAATACCATTCAACCCAGCAAGCCCCATTACTGGATATATACCTAAAAGAATATAAATCTCTCTAGCATAAAGATACATGCCCACGTATGTTCATTACGGCACTATTCACAATAGCAAAGACAGGGAATTAACCTGAATGCCCATCAGTGTTAGACTGGATAAAGAAAATGTGGTACATATACACAGGGAATACTAAGCAGCCATAAAAAATGAGATCAAGTCCTTTGCAGGAATGTGGATGGAGCTGGAGGCCATCATCCTTAGCAAACTAACTCAGAAACAGAAAACCAAATACTGCATGTTCTCACTTACAAGTTGGAGCTAAATGATGAAAACACATGGACACATAAGAGAGGAACATATACTGGGGCCTACCAAAAGGCAGAGGGCCGCAGGAAAGAGAAGATCAGGAAAAATAACTAATGGGTAATAGGCTTAATACCTGGGTGATGAAATAATCTGTACAACAAATCTTCATGACACAAGTTTATCTACATAACAAAACTGCACATGTACCCCTGAGCTAAAATAGGCATTAAAAAAAAAAAAGAGCTATGCAACTGTAAAACCCCTAACAAGGCTGACAAAGGAAAATGAGATAAGACACAAATTACCAATATCATGAATGAAACAGAGGATGTCATTACAGATCCTGAAAACATCAAAGGGATAATAAAGGAATACTATGAACAACTCTACACCCATAAATTTGATAACTTAGACAAAATGGTCCAGTTCATCTAAAAACACAAGCCACCACAGCTCACTCAATATGAAACAGATAATTTTGATAGCATTACAATATTAAGAAAATTGAATCAATAATTTTTAAACTCCCAAAAAAGAAATCTACCGGTCCAGATGGTCTCACTAAAGAAACTGCCAAATGTTTAAAGAAGGATTAACATAATTCTGTACAATGACTCCCTGAAAAATAGAAGTGGGAACACTTCTCAGTTTGTTTTGTGAAGCCAGTATTACCATCATCTCAAACCCAAGGACAACACACACACACACACAAACTGCAGACCAATATCCCTCATAAATATTGACATAGTCATAGAAATCCTTAATAAAATATTAGCAGATATAATTAATCAATATATGAAAAGGGTATGGTGTATATATGACCAAGGAGGTTTTATTCCTTTGATGCATGACTTGTTTGATATTTGAAAATCAATGTACAACCATGACATAATAAACATAATCCACTACAGTAACAGCCTAAAAGAAGATAATCCTATAATCAAATCAATAAACACAGACACAGCATTTGACAACAGCCATTCATGGCTAAAAGAAAAAAAAAACTCAGAAAATAAGAACAGTGGAGGATTTTCTCATCTTGATTAGTAGAATATGCAAAAATCCTATAACAAATATTATGTTTAATAGCAAAAGACTGAAAGCTTTCACTCTAAGATTGGGAGCAAGGGAACTGTCCACTCTCACCACTCTTATTCAACATAATGCTAAAAGTTGTAACTAGTGCAAGAAGGCAATAAATGGTACATATTAATATATTGAAAAGAAAGAAATAATACTGTTTCTGCGGAGAACATGATTGTTTATGTAAAAATCCCCAAGGAATCTATCTACCAAAAAATCCTAAAACTAATAAATGAATTCAATAAAGTTGCAGGATACAAGATAAATATACAATCAATTGTATTTTTATATATTAATACTAGCAATGAACAAATGGATATCAAAATAAAAATGCAAATACTATTTATAATCACTCAATATTAATAATAAGTATAAAAATAACAAAGCATGTAAGGACTTATATGCCAGAAACTACACAATGCTAATGAAAGAAATCAAAGAATATCTAAATAATGTAGAGATATACTATATTCATGGATTAGAAGACTTAACCTAGTAAAGACATCAGTTGTCCCCAAATTGACATCAAGGTTTAATCCAGCTCCTATCTTAATCCCAGCAAAGATTTTTATAGAAATAGACAATATTATTCTAAAATTTATAAAGAATGCCCAAAAAATAGACTAGCTAAAATAATTTTGAAAAAGAAGAATAAATTGGAAGGAATCAGTTACTAGACTTACTCAGTTTCAAGACTTACTACATAGCTATGGTAATCCAAAGTGTATAGGTACTGGTATAGGAATACACACATAGAATAATGGAACAGAACAGAGAATCCAGGAATATACCCACACCTGTATCCTTAACTGATTTTTGACAAAGTACAAAATCAATTCAATGAAGAAAAGAGTTTTCTCAATAAATGTCTGGAGCAATTGGACATCCACAGGTGAAAAAAGAACATCAACCTAAATCATATAAAAATTAACTCAAAATGGATCACAGACTTAAATATAAAACATAAAAAGCTATAACACTTCCAGAATATAACATAAGAGAAAATCTTGGCTGGTCTCAGTGGCTCATACCTGTAATCCCAGCACTTTGGGAGGCCAAGGTGTGTGGATCATGTGAGGGCAAGAGTTGAGGCCAACATGGCAAAACCCCATCTCAACTAAAAATACAAAAAGTAGCTGGACTAAAAATACAAAAATAGCATGCCTGCAGTCCCTGTCACTCAGGAGGCTGAGGCACAAGAATCACTGGAACCCAGAAGGCAGAGGTTGCAGTGAGCTAAAATTGCACCACTGCACTCCAGCCTGGGGAACAGAGCAAGAGTCTTTCTCAAAGCAAAACTAAACTAAACTAAACTAAAACTAAAAAAAAAGAATGTATAAAAAATAAGAAAATCTTTAGGATCTAGGGTTTAGGATCTAGGGCTAAGCAAAGAGTTTTTAGACATGATACCAAAAGTATGTAAAAGGAAAAAATTCAAAATCAGACTTCATCAAAATTAAAAATCTTGCTCTGTGAAAGATCATGTCAATAGTATGAAAAAGCAAGCTACAGAGGAGAGAAAATATTTGCAAACCACTTATCCAAGAAAGGACTAGTATCTAGAATAAATAAAGACTTCTCAAAACTCAACAGTATAGAAACAAATAATTCAATTAGATAATGGGCAAGAGACATTATTTTTCACTTTCAGAGAGACACAGATGGCAAATAAACACATAAACACATTAAAGATGTTCAACATCATTAGCCATTAGGGAAACGCAAATTAAAACCACAATGAACAAATTAAAATGACTACATACCTATCAGAAAGGCCAAAATAAAAAATATTTACAACAAAATGCAGGCAAGTTGGATGACTCATACATTACTGGTGGAAAAGCAAAATGATACGACTCTAGAAAACAGTTCAGCAGTTGCTTGCAGAATTAAACATGGACTTACCACGTGACCCAGCAATCACGTTCCTAGGCATTCATCCCAGATAAATGAAGCCGTGGATTCATACAAAAACCTTGCACAAATGTTTATCCCATCTTTATTTGTAATAAACCCCAAATGGAAACAATTCAGATGTCCTTCAACACATAAATGGTGAAACAAACTGCAATACACCCAAAACAGAGAATGCTCCTTAGGATAAAACGGACCAAATTACTGAAATATGCAACAGCTGGAATTTATCTCCAGAGAATAATTGGAGTGAAAAAAGCCAGTCCTAAAAGGTCACATACTACATGATTCCATTTGTATAAAATTAGTTCAACCATTGTGGAAGACAGTGTGGTGATTCCTCAAGGCTCTAGAATCAGAAATACCATTTGACCCAGCAATCCCATTACTGGGTATATACCCAAAGGATTATAAATCATTCTACTATAATGCACACATATAGTAGAATGATTATAATAATTCTACTATATGCGCACGTATGTTTATTGCAGCACTGTTCACAACAGCAAATACTTGGAACCAACCCAAATGTCCACCAATGATAGACTGGATGAAGAAAATGTGGCACATATACACCATGGAATATTATGCAGCCATAAGAAAGGTTGAGTTCATGTTCTTTACAGGGACATGGATGAAGCTGGAAACCATCATTCTCAGCAAACTAACACAGTAACAGAAAACCAAACACTGCATATTCTCACTCATAAGTGGGAGCTGAACAACATGGACACAAGGAGGGGAACGTCACACACCAGGCCCTGTCAGGGGCTGGGGGCGCTGGGGAGGGATAGCATTAGGAGAAATACCTAATGTAGATAACGGGTTGATGTGTGCAGCAAAACACCATGGCATGTGTATACCTATGTAACAAACCTGCACATTCTGCACACGTATCCCAGAACTTACAGTATAATTTTTAAAAATGTCTGAAATGATAAATTATAGGAATGGTGAACAGATTAATGGTTGCTGGTGGTTTTGAAGGGGACAGGGATAAAGAAGTAGGTATGGCTATAAAAGTGCAACATGAGGTATGCTCTGCTTATGAATATGCCAGTATCTCGAAATAAAAATCTTAATTAAAAACATAACTACAAAAAAGTCATGTTTCGAAGAAGCAAAAATCAAACAAAAATTTTTTTTAAAAAACTGCATTTAAAAAATAAATAAATAAAATCCAAATAAAACCTGTACTAGTCTTTCACCGATATCAACTTCCTCATTTTGAAAACTGCACTGTGGCTTTGTAAGATGTTATCGTAGAGGAAGACTAGGTGAAGCGTACATATGATCTCTGTATACTAGTTTCACAGCTTCTTATGAGTCAAACTATTTCAAAATGAAAAGTTGTCACTTAAAAAAAAAAAATTTAAATTAGCCAGGCATGGTGGTGCGCAGCTGTAGTCCCAAATACCTAGGAGGCTGAGGCAGGAGAACTGCTTGAGCCCAAGAGTTCAAGGCTACAGGGAGCTATGATCACACCACTGCACTCCAGCCAGGATGATAGAGCAAGACCCTGTCTTTAAAGAAAAGAATAAATCAAATAAAATATTTAAAAACATTTAATATTCTTTAATCTTAAAAGTGAGAGCCCCCAGGGGTCCCTGTGGCTACCGCAATGCAGAAATATAAAAAACTGGAAAAGATTGGGGAAGGCACCTGCTGGACATTGTTCAAGGTCAAAAACCGGAAGACTCAGGAGATCCTGGCTCTGAAATGGGTGAGGCTGGATGATGATGCTGAGGATGTACCGAGTTCCGCCCTCTGGGAGTTCTGCCTACTCAAGGAGCTGAAGCACAAAAATGTCATCAGGCTTCATGACATCCTGCACAGCAACGAGAAGCTGACTTTGGTTTTTGAATTCTGTGACCAGGACCTGAAGAAGTATTTTGACAGGTGCAGTGGTGCCCTTGACCCTGAGATCATAAAGTCCTTCCTCCTCCAGCTGCTAAAAGGCCTGGGATTCTGTCATAGCCACAATGTGGTACACAGGGACCTGAAGCCCCAGAACCTGCTAATGAACAGGAATGGGAAAATTAAATTGGCTGATTTTGGCCAGGCTCGAGCCTTTGGGATCCCCATCCGCTGTTGCTCAGCTGGGTGGTCACACTGTGGTACCGCCCACCAGATGTCCTCTTTGGGGCCAAGCTGTACTCCACAGCCATCAACATGTATCAGCCAACTGCATCTTTGCGGAGCTGGGCAATGCTGGGTGGCCTCTTTTTCCTGACAATGATGTCGATGAACAGTTGAAGAGGTTCTTCTAGCTCCTGGGGATGCCCACCAAGGAGCAGTGGCCCTCCACGACCAAACTGCCAGACTACAAGCCCTACCCAATGTACCCAGACACAACATCCCTGGTGAACATCATGCCCAAACTCAATGCCACAGGGAGGGGCCTGCTGTAGAATCTTCTGATATGTAACCCCGTCCAACGTATCTCAGCATTAGAGGCCCTGCAGCAGCCCTACTTCTCCAACTTCTGTCCACTCTAGGCCGCGGGACCCCCAGCTGCCAGGCTGGGGCCTGGCCTATATAAGCCCCATCTTGGAAGGGGCAGAACAGTGGGGGTGTCCAGTGTGCTGAGCTCCAGCTGTGCTGGGCCCAGCAGGGGTGGGGCATCTGAGCTCAAGTTTCTAACTCCCTTTGTGGACTTTATTTAATTTCAGCGACTGGCTCCTTTTCCCCCAACACACACACACAATTTAATATTCTTATTTTGCTACCTTTAATCAATTCTTAAAAGACCACAGGCAAATCATGGTCCTAGTGGCTAGGTTTCCATGTGGCCACTATGGAGATACCTTTCCACTGCCCCTGGAAGCACACTTTCCGCTAAGTGCACATCAGTTATAAATCAAAATCCTCAACTCACATGTGCAAGGCTTTCCACTTTCCTTACTTTCTGACACAGCTTCATTTGTAGGTAGGTTAAGGTCCTATTCAGCCAATGTTGGGAAAACGATCTCAGACAGTTCAACTCCTACCCCTTGCTCATTTCCCCAGGGAGATGGTTTAGGTTCTGGGACACAGACATCCTGATATCAACATGGGGTGGGGAACAGGGAGAGGGAGCAAGCATCGTCCTTTGCTCAGAGTGTCATCTGTGCACCCTGCCATCTTGAGGACCCATCACCCCATTATTCCTCATCTACACCATTTGTATTAGTGTCCTAGGCCTACTGTGAGAGATCACCCACAAGCTTCAGAGTTTAAAACAATACAAATGTATGCTTTTATAGTTCTGGGGGTCAGAAGTCTAAAATGGGTCTCATAGGATGAAAATCAAGGTGTCCACAGATCTTCTTCCTTTTTGGAAGCTCCAGAGGGGAATCCACTTTCTTGCCTTTTCCTCTTTCTAGAGGCTGCCTACCTTAGCCAGGAGTGGTGGCCCACGCCTGTGGTCCCAGCTACTCAGGAGGCTGAGGTGGGAGGATTGTTTGAGCCTAGGATGTGGAGGTTACAGTGAGCCAAGATTGCAGCACTTCACTCCAGCCTGAGTGACAGAGTGAGACCCCATTTCAAAGAAAAAAACAAAACCCAAAAAATGTTTAAAGGCCGCTTACAGTCCTCGCTTGTGGCTGCATCACAGGGACCTCTTGCATCATGGTCATGTATTTTTCTCTAACTCTGACCTTTTGCCTCCCTCTTAGAAAGAGTCCGGTGTTCATGTTAGAAGCACTGGATAATCCAGGATAATCTTCCCGCTCAAGATTCTTAATTATATCTGTGAAATCTCTTTGCTGTGTAAGAGGACACATGCACAGGCTCCAGGGACTAGGACGTGGACCTCTTTGGGGCCATTCTTCTTTTCTTTTTGAGACGGAGTCTTGCTCTGTCACCCAGGCTTGGAGTGCAATGGCGTGATCTTAGCTCGCTGCAACCTCTGCCTCCTGAGTTCAAGTGATTCTCCTGCCTCAGCCTCCAGAGTAACTGGGAATATAGGTGTGTGCCACTACACCCAGCTAATTTTTGTAGTCTTAGTAGAGCTAGATTTCACCATGTTGGCCAGGCTGGTCTCAAACTCCTGACCTTGTGATCTGCCTACTTCAGCCTTCCAAAGTGCTGGGATTACAGGTATGGGCCACTGCGCCCAGCCTGAGACCATTATTCCTTTTTTTTTTTTTTTTTTTTTTTTTTTTTTTGAGACAAAGTCTCACTCTGTTGCCCAGACTAGAGTGCAGTGGCTCGATCTTGGCTCACTGCAGCCTCTGCCTCCCAGGTTCAAGTGATTCTCCCACTTCAGCCTCCCAAGTCAATGGAACTACAGGCATACTGCATGCCTAGGGTCGTTTTTCTATGGACTCTACCACCTTGGGCACTTGGGATCGTCCCAGGCTCATCTCCCACACTGGTTCCTCTTGCTGGATTACACACCACCTCACAACTTAAGAGTGTGAGACAATCATTTTATTATGCACACTATTTTGTGGCTCAGGAATTCAGACAGGACACAATGGCAATGGCTTGTCCCTGCTCCAATGATGTCTAGGGCAACAGCCGATAAGACCCAATACCTGGGAGTGACTCAACAGCTGGAGGCTGGAATCATCTAGAGGTTTCGTCACTCTCACGTCTGGTGGTGGATGCCAGCTGTTGGCTGGGACCTCACCTGGGGCTGCTGACTTGGGGCCTCTCCTCATGTGCTGAGGTCACCTTGCAGCATAGCAGCCTCCAGGGAAACAGACTTCTTACACAGTGGCTCAGCTTTCCAAAATGCAAATGTCCCAGCAGACACAGTAGAAGCTTCATTGCCTTTTGCAACCTAGCCTCAAAAATCACATAGAATCATTCATTTCTATTGCACACTATTGTTCAAAGCACTCACAAACCCAACCACATTCAAGAACAAGGGAAATAGACCCTACATCCTGATGGAAGGTGGTAAAGTCACTTTATAGAACAGCCCAGGGGAGGGAGGACGGGGTTTTCTCTACATGCTGCATTAAGCAACCACTTTTTCTCTCGTGTCTCTCTACCTGCCCCCAGAACTCTACCTGGAAATGGCTCAGGTCTTCTGACCTGATCCCACAGTCCTTGGGGGTGGATGTTGTTCCCTGCTTGGGGTTCATCCAGAGAGCAGGAATCTGCAGCACTCTCATTACCATCCCTCCAACTCTCTCTTCTTCTCTTCAATTCCAAAGTCTCAAGCCAGGCCCAAATCAGCCAATCAGGCATCCATTTCAGGTGCGGGAGGGACAGGGGAGAAGCTTCTTTTTTTTATGTTCTAAAATTTATTGTCCATGTCCTGAGTTCTTTCCATCCCTCTAGGGATCCACATTTTCTAAACTAGAAAGCCAGGAGTTTGCTCAAAAATGCAATTTTTACCTCATTTCTTCTCCGAGGGAAAAGCTCCAAGAATTCTTATCTTTACTTGGACGGGGTAGAGAAGAAGGTTAAGGGAAGGATAGGGATGGAGGTGATACTGTCACTAAACATTTCCAAACATGTTATCTTGCCACAGGTACAATTCTCACAACAGCCGGTATCTTCTGTTGAGCTTTCCAAGGACCTCTCCCCTGAATAAATAATATCCATTTTCCCAACCTAGGATGCAAATAAAATAAGGAGTACATATGGGGTCCAATAAATCATCTATCTTCATCACTGTCAGTAACCATGCTGAAGGAGGGGGTCATAGATCTGTACTGTGGACTAAATGTTTGTGTCCTTTCAAAAGGCACATGTTGAGGCCCTACCCCTCTAATGTTTTGGTATTTGGAGATGGGATCTTTGGGAGGTAAATAGGGTTAGATGAGGCCATCAGGTTGGTTGGGGTTCTCATAATGGGATTAGTGACCTTATAGGAAAAGATGCCAGGGACCGGCACAGTGGCTCATGCCTGTAATTCCAGCACCTTGGGAGGCCAAGGTGGATGGATCATGAGGTCAGGAGTTCGAGACCAGCCTGGCCAACATAGTGAAACCTGGTCTCTATTAAAATACAAAAAAATTAGCCCGGCATGGTGGTGGTGGGCGCCTGTAATCCCAGCCACTCGGGAGGCTGAGGCAGGAGAATCACCTGAACCTGGGAGGCGGAGGTTGCAGTGAGCTGAGATCACGCCACTGCACTCTAGCCTGGGTGACAGTGCAAGACTCCACCTCAAAAGAAAAAAAAAAATAGATCAGGGAGCTAGAGAGCTAGCTTGCTTGCTTTCTCTGTTTCTGTCTGGCTTTCCTTCCCTTCCACCCCCGCCATATACACAAAGAAGTCATGAGAGCACATAGCAAGATGGCAGCTGCCTAAAAGTGTTGTTTAAGTTACCCAGCTGGGCATTTTTTTATGGCAGCCCGAGATGACTGATATAATCTATGAGCCATGTGGGCTGCAAACACACAACCCAGAATGAGGCTGGCATACCCCCACAGGTACAAGCAGTGCTGCTGCAAGTATGCCAACCCATGCTAAGATACAGAACAAAGGAGACTCAGGGTCTCAGGGGAGTGTCCCCGGGAGGAAGGATGCAGCTGAGGCAGACATCTCCAGAGTCAGAGAGAAGCAGAAATATCCTCTGGAGAAAACCCCTACTCCTGGAAACCAGGAGTGGGGAAAGGCATTCCCCTTAAATGTCATCTGTGGCTGTTGAATGATGCATGCTTTCATTCATTTATTCATTCAGCAAACATTTACTCAGCATCTACCCTTTATCAATTGTTTATTTCTGTGGGAAAAAAAAAAACCTGCCAAAATCTTAGCAGCGTAAAACAACACAAATTCACTATCTCATAATTTCTGTAGGTCAGAAATCTAGTCATGTCATCACTGGATTCTCTGCTCAGGGTCTCACTAGGCTGAAATCAAGGTGTCAGCCAGAGCTGTGCTTCTCATCTAGGTCTCAGGGTATTCTTTCAAGCATATTGGTTATTGGCAGAATTCATTTCCTTGTGCTTATAGGACTGGGGTCCCAGGTGTCTTGTTAACTGTCAGCCAGGGTCTGCTCTCAGCTTCCAGAAGTGCCTCTCAGGTCCATCTTAGCAACAGAAAACCTCCCTCATGTAAAATCCCTCTCATCCTTTGAATGTCTGACTTTCCCTTCCGCCACCAGCCATAGAAACCTGTCTGCTTTGAAAGGACTCATGTGATTAGATCAGGCCTATCCAGGTAAGCTTCATAATCTCCATAGTTCAAGGGCAAATGATGTGGCACTTTAACAACATTGGCAAAATCTTTTCACAGTAATACCTACCTCCATGGTTGATTGAATAACTAGAGACTGGGAATCTTGGGGGCCATCTTTGAATTCTGCCTACTATATATCCCACGTGAGGCAAGAAGCAAAAACATGAAGATGACTTTGGCAAAATACTCATCCACAAAGGACTTATAGTAAAATGGATACAGCAAATACAAAGAAGTAACTAGATTATTGAGTGATGATTGCTAATTCAAGGTTATGTGCAAGGTTCTGTAGGACTTCAGAGGATTAACTCTCTTTGGGAGAGTATGGGAAGGCTTCCTAAAGAGACATTTGATCTGTGTCTCAAGGACCGAGGAA